GTCCACTCATCCTGGACCAAGCTTTAATTGATACTAGGATATCGCCACATTTCTGTCCCACTGCCATTACCACCCCCACCCAACCCCTAACAAACCTAGAGCTAGGTATGGGGTTACTGCTGCAATATCAGAGAGATAGAACCAGCCCTAGCTACCTCACCTTGCCAATTCCTCAGCTGATCTTGTTTCCTCAGACGGAAGCCTCTCAGTCCTCATCTAGAATGAATCTCAATTGAGCTGTTGTTCAAAAGCCTAAAAGCTTAACCAGCTTTAGTTTTGATTTTCATGCCTTTTATACCTTTCTGCTTTCTACCTCACTCCCTGGGATTAGGTGTAAGTCAGAATGCCTGGTTGTTTCCAGTGTGGCTTTGAACTCACATAGATCCAGATGGATTTCTGCCTCTGGAATGTTAGGATTAAAGTCGTATAAGCCACCGTTTTTTGGCCTCTGTATCTAGTGGCTGTTCTGTTCTCTGACCCCAGGTAAGTTTATTAGGGTGCACAATATTTTGGAGAACACAATATTACCACATGGTGGGGAATCCCAGCTCTTTGTGGGTTGTGTCATTCCTGAGCTGATTGTCCTGGGTGCTATGCGAAAGTAGGCTAAGCAAGCCATGAAGAGCAAGTCAGTAAGCACCACTCCTCCATGGCTTCTGATTCAGTTTCTGCCTCCAGGTTCAAGACTTGAGTTCCTGCCCTCACTTCCCTGGATGATAGACTAGAGTCTATAAAATGAAATAAAACCCTTTCCTTCCTGAGTTTCTTTGGTCATGGTGTTTCATCATAACAATAGAAACTGCAACTAAGATAGGACATAAGAGTGACCAAATTCAGATCTTAAAGACAAGACAATGTTGTTTGGGGCATGTAGATCTTGACAGTAAGTGCATAGCTGTGGCACTGAGGTGGCATGGTTAAATCTCAGAGACAATGCACTCCAAAAGTCAAGCACAGAGTAATTTTGAATTGACTGGTTCTTCACAACTAATTATTTCCACTTCCAGCTGATCATCACATGTAGATGTAACCAATCCTCTTTTTAAAATAAGAAACACAGAGCCAATGTAAAAGAGAAAGCCGAGAGGTCAGAGCTCAGAGATAAAATCTTACCTCCTGCAGTGCTCCTAGCTTCCCCGAGAGAGAGCTACTTCCTGTTTGTCTGTGTTTAAATAGTCTTTCTGTTCTGCCTTCTCATTGGTTGTAAACCCAACCACATGACTGCCTCATCACTGCCTGTAAGTACCGCCCTCCAGGTCTTAAAGGCATATGTCTCCAATACTGGCTGTATCCCTGAACACACAGAAATCTACCTAGCTCTTCTAACCACCATGCTCTTGCTATGGCTCTAATAGCTCTGACCCCAGGGCAACTTTATTTATTAACATAAAATTAAAATCACATTTCAGTACAAATAAAATATCACCATAATCACAAACTACCCTCCTCCTCACCAAAGCATTCTCTCATTATTTTATGTATTTTTTTCTGTGAATGTCCCGAGAGAAAGTAAGTCTGACTAAATCTAACCCTGAACAACCAATTCTTCAGGTAATCTTAGTTTTAAACATACTGTTCTTAGGCTTACGTATTCTCATTATTTAGGACTTAAATTCTCATTTGTTTGAGCTTTCCTATAATCTTAGTACTCAGATTGTGAGTTTGAGGTTATCCTTGGCTGCATAGCTAAGACACTGTCTCAAAAATAAGCAAGCTATCAATCAAAAATAAATTCCTACTTGTTTTTGAAAGTCTCTTTGAAGCATAGTATCTCCTTGACATTTGAAATACTGATAAACTCTCCACATAAATCATTTTGTACTCTCATGGAAAAGTCACTTTCTTTCTCAGTGGTCAGCAATGCCTACTTTTCTCTGAAGAACTACTTTGCCCTTATTGCTATCTCTTAGCTGTGACTTTTAATGACTGTCAAGAAATGTTCGTGGAAAATGCAAAGGTGAAAAGTTATCTCTATTATCTGATTAGAAATTGTTCTTTGTCCATTGTATAGTGGAATTTTCACCTGGAAAATTTCCCCACATGGTAAATATCGAAGGTACCCAAAAGAACCCACAGGCAGTTAAAGCTGACAACACTAAAATGCAGACCCTATCACAATGTTTGCATAAAGAACAACATGCCATGAGAAGCTCTCTTTGAGTTGTTGGTCAGTTATCTCTAAGAGACTATTGGTGATGCCCTTGGTTGAGGAAAGTAGGTACATATTGTTGAAGACACCATGCACTTCAGACACAGGCCCCAGAGGACCCTCAACTGGATCTGACCTGAATGTCTCTTGCCCTAAAGACCAGGTGGTGCCATTCAAGATCTCAAAAGGAGGAAGCAAATGACACTCCCAATAAGCTATGAGGTCTATAAACCACAAAAATGACCAGCATGGCACAATGTCTCTAAGAGTTTAGTCGTGGCATGCATACCTTGGTTGTAACCAACAGCTCATAGGCGCTCAGAGACTGAAATGGCAGTCACAGGGCCTGCATGGCTCTGTACTAAGTCCTCTGCACGCATGCTGTGGCTGTTTAGCTAGGGGTTTTTGTGGGACTCCTAACAGGGGGACTAAGGGTGTCTTTGACTCTTTTGACTGCTCTTGGGACCCTTTTCCTCCTACTGGGTTGCCTCATCCAGCCTTGATAAGAGGGTTTGTTCATAGTCTTACTGTATCTTGTTATGTCGTGTTCAGCTGATAACGGGGAGGCCTGATCTTTTCTGAAGGGAAATGGAGGAGCAGTGGATCTGGGGGAGAGAGGAAGCTGAATGTGGAATTGGAAGGAGAGGAGGGAGTGAAGGCTGTGGTCAGATATATTGTATGAGAGAAGAATAAATAAAAAGATAAAAGAAAAATCAGTGGAGAATTTATCACTCATCCCAAATATCAAGTTGTTTTAAAATTATTAAGTTGAACTCTAAGACAGACTGACTCTTCTAAACTAAAATCCTATGTCATCTCACATATTAAAATTGGTTAATTCCAAGGATTCTTTGGGAGCCTTGGAAACAACAGTTATGCTCTCTTAAATAGGCTCAACAGATCGTATCCCCTAGGCTCTCTTGGAGAGGCTATGTACCCCATCTACAAGAAGCTGCTACTCATGTAGTTTAGACGGTCTGCTGTCAGCACTGGGATTGTTCTTTGCTTTTGTTTTCTGACATTCCTTACATTTTAGTAATAAATTTAATTTGTCAGTTTTATGATGAGGCTCTGAAAGGAGCCTTGTCTTGAGAAAGGTTGCTGGTATTCTAGGAAGAGAGCTGCTGAACAAGAAGTGTTAACAAGCATTGGGAGCTGTCATGTTATCTCCAGAATCATGCCCGAGCCCCTTCCATTAGATACTCCAGATCATGCTAGAACTTTTTTTTTTAAGAATCATTTTTTTTATTATTTTACAACACCATTCAGTTCAACATAATAGCCACAGATTCCCCTGTTCTCCCCCTCTCGCCCCCCCCAGCCCACCCCCCATTCCCACCTCCTCCAGATCAAGGTCTCCCCCGAGGACCGGGATCGACCTGGTAGACTCAGTCCAGGCAGGTCCATTCCCCCCCTCCCAGACCGAGCCAAGTGTCCCTGCATAAGTCCCAGGATTCAAACAGCCAACTCATGCAACGAGCCCAGGACCAGGCACCAATGCACAGCTGCCTCCCAAACAGATCAAGCCAAATGACTGTCTCACGCATTCAGGGGGCCTGATCCAGTTGGGGGCCCCTCAGCCTTTGGTTCATAGATCCTGTGCTTCCATTCATTTGGTTATTTGTCCCGGTGCTTTATCCAACCTTGGCTTCAACAATTCTCACTCATATAAACCCTCTTCTTTCTCACTAATTAGACTCCCAGTGCTCCACCAGGGGCCCAGCCGTGGATGTCTGCATTCAGATTCCTCAGTCCTTGGATGGGGTTTATGGCACAACTATCTGGGTGTCTGGCCATCCCATCACCAGAGTAGGTCAGTTCCTGCCGTCTCGCGACCATTGCCAGCAGTCTTTTGCAGGGGTATCTTTGTGGATCTCCGTGGGCCTCCCTAGCTCTAAAGGTCGTTCTTCTGTGATGGTTTCCAGCTATTCCTAAGGATCAGTTCAAGTTTCCTTTGCATCCTGAGAAATAGCTCAGTCCTTTTAATAACTCTATTTCAGTTTAAGGTTGATATCTAGACTTTGGGTAAGATAGATAACCTAATTATTTTCTGTTGCTTCTAATCAAATTTAGATAGCCTCTATTTCTCCTCTAGTCTCATTAAGAACACACCTTCTAAGGACTTAAAATGTTCCTTTTTATTCATTTCAATGAACATGCAATTTGATCTCTTGACTCTGAGCAACAGTTGTGGTTTATGAACAAACTGAGGACAGCACTAGGCATTTCATAATAAGCCCATGATGTGTAAAACACAATAACATTATTACTGGTGGGAGAGTGCTTTGGACGGTTTGTGGGGAAAAAACAAGCCAATAAACAGGAGCTAAGAAGCCTGAGCCTTCCTTCTCTAAATTTGCTGCACATCTCGAGCTCCTGTTATTACAGCAAACCTCTCACAAAAGAGCCTATAAGCAAGATCATTGTAAAGAGCACATTTTTAGAAGTTAAAATTGTGCTTACAACCGTAAGCACTGTTGAAAGTTCCTTGGCTTTTTCTTCCTTTAGCTCTCTCATTAGGCAGCAGGCCTGTGGCAACATTATCTGTGTCTAAACTCCTCCAGCAGGAGAAAGCTGCTAATTCTGAGTGTAGGTGGACAGAGTCTGATTAGACAGCATTGACAGAATAGTCGATTTCATTGTGGGTTTTGTTCCCTGTATACAGATGACTCTTTAGTGGGGGGAGGTTCTTTCTTGTCTAATATCCTTCTCAAATGAGTGCTGAAATAGACACACAAGGAGGTTTTT